AGAGAGCGAGAGCGAGAGAAAATGAGAGTGAGAGTGAGAGAGAGAGGGGGACTGACCTTGATCGACGACTCCTTCTCCTCCTCGCTGCTGTTCGCAAATGGCAATGGAAACGATAGAGAAGACAACGCCAACTATTGCTCTGTTTGACTTCTTGTTGCTTCAGTGCTCGTGAGCTAGGGTTTGTTTTAGTTTTTTTGTTTTATTTTAGATAATTTTTGTTATTTTACACTTTGACCCCATTATGAGTTTGTAAAATTATTTTTTCGCCCCGCCGTATCCTGAAAGTATCCGAGCATATCCATAAAGTATCCTCACGTATCCCAAACGTATCCGAAATTCAAAAAAAGAAAAAAAAAATGGGATACTTCTTTGCCGTATCTAATACATATCTTGCCGTATCAGACGTGTATTCGTATCCGATGCGTATCCAACATGCGTACGGGGGCCATTTCAGAGTATCCATGCTTCATAGCTTATAGCCCTTTTGAGTAGGAGAGTACCCCAAGAATACACATTTGATAGTCCTAGGATCAAGTTTACCCTGTAAATGACTATGAACATGTACATAGCAAGTACATCTGAATAGTTTTAGAGATAAGGACCCAACCCCTTGGAAATTTGGAAACAAGGATGAGAGTTTACTCACGGGAGATTGAAACTGAAAAACTTTTGATGGCATTCGGTTTATCAAGTATGTAGCAGTGAGTACTGCTTCCCCCCAATAGGTTAACTTTCGTTTGGAAAAGAAGGGACCTAGCAACTTCAAGAAGATGTCGGTTTTTTCTTTCTCCTACTCCATTTTGTTGGGGTGTGTCAACACAAGATGAGTGATGTAGGATGCCCTCATTTGCAAGATAAGTAATGAGATCTTGATTGAAGTATTCCTTGCCATTATTAGATCAAATTGTGTGTATTTTTGTCCCAAACTGAGTGCTAATAAATTTGTGGAACAAAGGAAAAAGAGTGGAAGTTTCTAATTTGGACTTCATAAGATAGACCGAAGTAGTACGAGTGTAATCATCTATAAATGAGACAAACCACCAAGAACCAGAAATATTTGGTATACGGGAAGTATTCCAAACATCCGAATGTATTAAACTAAATGGAGATAAGATTTGTGGAGTTTTCAAAGGAAAGGATACAGGATGATGTTTGGCCAATTCACAAATTTCACAATGAAATTTCCCCACTATTATTTGTAAACAAGAAAGGAAACATTTTTTCCAACAAAGGAAAAAGGGGGTGTCCTAACCGTCTATGCCAGAGCCAAACTTGATCATCTTTTTGTTGAATTGTAGTAGAGACCAAGACTTGAGACTCTTGATTCTTTTTCACCAAATCTGCTTCCAAGAAGTATAAGCCTTCCTTCAATTCAACATGCCCAATCATCTTCCCGGTAGCACGATCCTAAAAATTGCAACCAGAGGAAGTAAATAAAACTAAACATTTTAAATCATCAGTGAGTTTTCCTACAAACAGAAAATTATAGGATAAATTTGGAACATAGAGGATTGATTTTAGGCACGAAGTGGGTGATATTTGGACATTTCCTTTTCCGGCAATGGGGGACAAGGAACCATCGGCAACTTTGATTTTTTGTTTTCTTAAATGTGGGATATACGTTGAAAAATGATTGAAGGTGCTGGTCATGCGATCTGATGCACCAGAATCAACTATCCAGATACTAGAATTGACACTCTTGGAGGTGATTAAGGCAAAGCTATTACCTGATTGGATCATGGAGCAAGAACTTGAAATTGGAGTCAAGTTTGTGGTTTGATTATCAACTTGATTTAGCAAAATTTTCAGCTTTTCAACCTCACTTTTGCTGAACCCCATAGCTTCCTTATGGTCATCTACAACCACAGTTTGACGAGCTTGACCTGATTTTGACTTCCTCCTTTGCTGCCAATTCCCTTCAAGCCTTGTGGTTTTCCATGCAGTTTCCAGCACATCTCCTTGGTGTGGCGCAGTTTGTGACAGTAATCACACCACATCTTCTCTCTATCCAGATTTTTCTTTCCTTCATTCCTTCCCCAAGCAACTTTTGATGCAGCCAAGGCCAAATTCTCACTGGTAGGCTTATCCAGCATCACCACCTGCCTACTTGCTTCTCCTCGAACAATTGAGAAAACCTTATTCAGGGATGATAAATTCTCCCTGTCCAAAATTCTGCCTCTAATCTGATCAAACTCACCATTTAACCTCTCAAGGAAATCAAATATTCTTTCTTCTTCAAGTGCTTTTTGCAGCTTTGCAGTGTCCGTGCTACACACCATCTCAATCCTTTGATAATGGTCTAGTTCCAACGAAAGGCTCTTGATGGTATTGTAGTATTCAGTGACACTGGAAGATCCTTGTTTTGTGTTGTGAATCTTCGTTTTCAGTTCATAGATATGAGCTTTCATATCTACATTAGAGTAAGTTTGTGCAGCAGCTTCCCAAATGTCAATGGTTGTTTTAAGGAACATGTAAGTCTTCCCAAGGTTGAATAGAGTGGAGTAGCCATGACATAATCATGGAATTCTCCACATCCCAAGTCTTGAAATTGGGACCGGTTGGCTTTGGTGGAGGATCTGTGAGATATTCTAACTTCCCTCTGCCTTTGATTGTCAACATTGCTGATTGTGACCATTCAAGGTAATTGGTCCCATTCAGTTTTGTTGAAGCAATCTGGAGGCTCAAACTTTCAGATATTGAAAGTGTTAAAACCTATCACCTACTTCACTCACTTAAACCTACTCCACTAAACCTAACCCACTACACCACTACCACATCACCTACTCCACTAAACCTAACCCACTAAATCCACATACTCTCCACCTACTTCACCCACTTAAACCTACTAATTCTCTATTTCTCTTTATACATTAAATTTTCTACAGAAAGGGCTTTTGGGGCTGAAGAAGATGCATCTGTGACCTCAGATATGATTCAGTGAAGGAATCAGTGGGCAGCATGACAAAAAACTGATCTGAAGAGGACACAGAAACAGGTTGTCGAAGGGACTAACTAGTCTTCTAAATCCGAGATGGCAAAAGATAGCAACAATCAGAGGAATATAACGGAAATTCTGAATGGCAATGAAGGCCACAGTGAATCAGCTATGAAGGCTAAATAATCCTAACAATGAAGGCTAGGTTAAGAGGCTGCTAGGGTTAGGGTTTCTAAACCAGCTTTGATACCATGAAGGTTTGGAAGAGAATAATTCTTCTCATATATCTCAAACATAATCTGTATAGGGCTATAAATAAAGTACAAGAAGTTGACTTCTAAGAATCTAAATAAGGAAACAACCAAATTCTAGCCAACATAATTGATTACAGCTATACAACCTTTAATAAGGAAAGAATAACAGGCTGTTGTACAACTGTTATGCAGGCTTTATACGCCCTAAGAAGATCTATATTCCAACATTATCTTAGAGCTTTTATGCAACATTGTGAGCATGCCAAATTGTCTGATATACAAGGTCAAGAGTGTATGACTCTTTGGAGGCTCTCACTTGCCAAACCCTTGAACTTTATTGAGCCACAATTAAATACTCACTCAACCACTAGTTAACATCACGTGACAAAAATCCAAGCTCACACGCCAGTGAATTCCTTTTATTTTATGATTGCCCACAAACTCGATATTCCGGAAGGAAGCCAAATGGCTAAAATTGGTATCCCACAAGGTTACGTGGATGCAAACTCATTTTACATGGACTCTTATATATTTCACAAAGTTCATGTATCTACTGGATATGACAAGAGTAAGAGTGTTGGATATGTGAAACCTGTACCCAATTAGACACATGAATCCTCAAATTTTTTATTGTGTCACATAACGCACCTCTCACAACCCCCAAAGCACCACTGTCACCCACTTCCCATAGTTCCACCATCACTTGCTGACCTTAGTCCTACAACCTCCAAATCAATGGGCAACAAAACCCCCATGTTTCTCTCTCTACACTAAGAAATAATACGTTCATAAAATGTTTGTAGCTGAGATGAGGATATGCTTAAATATATATTTGGTCGAGGTAGAAAAGACAAAATAAAAAATGAATATATTTGTGAAATGGTAGGAGTAACATAAATTAAAGATGTTGAGTTGAGATAGACCATGCTAAGAAGAAGATGGTTTGGTCATACATAATGACGACATGTAAATGCAATAGTAAGGAAGAGTGTTGTAAATGAAAGTGTTTGGGAGGGGAAAACTTAAACTGACATGGAATGCAGTTGTAAAAAATTATATGGATATATTTAATTTAACAAAGCATATAGCCATTGATAGAACGAAATGGCCAGTAAAGAATTATGTAACTGACACCACCTAATTGAGACATTGTGGGTGTTTGGGAAGTGAGTTTTTATGTAATTTTTTTTAGTTGTAGGATATTATTGGAGAAAAAAATTTTGGTGTTTGGGAAGATAGTTGAGTTTTTTTGTGGTTGGATGTGATGTTTGTGAGAGAAAAAGTGAAATGATTATGGGGTTGGATGTGATATTTTGTTTGGATTTGTTTTTTTTGGTTTTGCAAAAACTGTCTTTTAGTGGAAAAAATCAAAAAAAACCCCAAAAAAAATCTTGCCAAACACCGCCATTATGTGTAGTTTGGTTTGGTTTGGTTTATTTGTGCTGTACACCATTCTATTTCTTTAATGATTGTTTAGTTGAACTTATATATTTCATATTTTTTCCTAAGCCCCCCCAACCCGCAGGTTGGGTGGCTGGTGTACAAAGAATGAGTTGTTTTTTTCTTTTCCCCAAGAACTTACAGTGAAAAGGGAAGGAGTGAACTGTTTTTACCTTTTATTTATTTATTTATTTTTTATCTATGTCCTCCCCCGGCCAAGTTGTGATTAGTAATGGAGGACAATGCATTCATTGGGTGTTTGAAGATGTCAAAAATTTTAATATAGTTGACATTCTAATTACAGCTTTTTGCAATTTTTTCTCTGATGATCTCCATAGTATTAATTTTTCACATGATTTGATGATTCATAGGTTGTTTGCTTCTGTTCTTTGGAGAAACCTAAGGAGGATGAGTTCTGTCTCAAGCTGTAAGCTTTCCTAAATCTTATCTATCATACAAATTTATTCTATATGTCTAATTATTCTGTCTATTATTTGTTATATAAACTTCTTTATGAATTTACTTAGGAAAAAAATATGGTTACCCTTGTAAATTTTTTAGGTCAAAGCTTTACACTTATGATGATGTTGTTGAAAGACTAGCCCGCCATCTTGGCTTGGATGATCCGTCTAAAATAAGGCTTACATCTCATAACTGCTACTCTCAGTAACCTAAACCCCAGCCAATCAAGTATCGAGGAATGGATCATCTATCAGACATGTTGCTCCACTACAATCAGGTTGTAGTGTCACCCTTATTTAGACTTTTAGTTTACTTTTTATAGTTAGAATGACCACTGTTTTCTGATGGCTTAGTTTTTTCCCCTTGTGGACAGACTTCAGATATTCTCTACTATGAGGTATTGGATATCCCTCTTCCGGAACTGCAGGGCCTGAAAACTCTAAAAGTTGCTTTCCATCATGCTACCAAGGACGAAGTGAGTGTGAAATCGTAGCAGTCATTTCTTCATTATATGTTAGCTTTTTGTCTCTCATACAATCTTGATTTAACTATTTTCAGGTAGTAATATATACTATTAGATTACCAAAACAAAGCACTGTTGGAGATGTTATTAATGATCTTAAGGGGAAGGTAACCATTGCAACTTTCTTTGCTTTCTAACTTGTCATGTACTCCTTTTTTTCATGGAGATGTCTGTATTGATTGGACTGCAACAATATTTTTCGTACTTACTGTGCTAAAATTTACTTGTTCTTATTTGACAAGAATCCACTCACCGTAGTTCCTTATTTTGGAACAGGTTGAGCTGTCTCATCCAAATGTGGAATTTAGATTGCTTGAAGTTTTCTATCACAAGATCTACGAGGTATTAAGTAATGTTAAAGCTATTATTGTTACTTTCTGAAGCAAATTTGACACGTCATTGAAATGGGTATTAGATAATGTTGAAGCTATTACTGTTCTTAAGCAAAGTTGGTGAGAGGTCATTGAAATGAATGCATCTTGACAGATGGTCTGTGGTTGATGCTGTCCTTTCTACGTTCAAGTTTTTCACTTTTTTTTTCTTTGTTTCTTTTTCTCTGAGCTGCAATTGCATGAAAATATGATTGGTGGATGGGGTTAAATCTTTTCAAAAACTAGTATATAACCAGAATCTTTTCAGAATCAATTTATAAATCTCAAATCACTTCCAAAACTCCTAACATTTCTGGGTTGATTTCTGGTGAGCTGTGAAATTATTATAGTGTTTACTGAGCACGAGCAATTATGTGTAGCTAGCACTACTTGCATCATCTGAGACCTTTTCTATGTTTTGTGATCTTATTCTGCACCATATACATTACTGATTTTCCCGCTTAATGAGAAGATTGAGAATATCAATGATCAGTACTGGACATTACGTGCAGAGGAGGTAATCAATTTTTTTTTTTCTTAGCTGGTTTATTCACGTGGCATTAAGTTCCTTGTGTTTCCTGTTTATACAAATTTTCTGCAAAAATGATTTTCTAATATTTGTAAAGGTGCTTCCTGCATCTTGATTGTTTGTTTTCTCGACTAACTAGTTATTTAGGTCTATGTTTGGGCTTGGGTAAGAGTGTCGGATGCAGGTATGTATCTAAGTGTCTAATTCATTTAATTCTTATGTCCAAGATATGGGGACATGGAAAATATTCATAAATTTTAATACACTTTTATTTTCTAGGGTAAAATGATGCTTATAAGATGTCAGAGAGAATTTCATGCATAAGTTGGAGGTTTTGTGCTTGGCTTTCTGTTGGACTCGAAATATGCTTGCTAGGTGAATGTCTAACTACACATGTCAGAACATATTCCATATTTTTACCCAAGTGTCGAGTGTCTGACACGGGTACTTAATGCTGTTAGAAGAATCCATGTAAGATAGATTTAGGTCAACACTAAACTTGAAAGAAACCATGCTTTTGATGAACAGCTTGGGCTGTCGGGTAATGCTGAGCTGATTGAGACAATACTCTAGCCTTCATTGGGGCAGCTTGTGCTTTTGTGTTTCCAATAACTATCTAGGAGCTACATGCATTCCATTCAATTTTGATTGTAAGGAATATTTAGGATCATTCAAAATCTTATAAGCATACTAATTTACAACTAATAATTGATAGATACTAATTTACAATAATTTACAACAATTGGTTCTTCAAAGTTGATGGTAGCTTTACTTTTCATTCTCCTTTGTCCTTTTCTTTCCTCTCCTTTTTTTATGTTATTTTTCCTTCTCAATTTCATTCATTTCTTATATTTTCAATTTGTTCCAGTTTTTCTTTCTTTTCTGTCTTCTTTTTAGGTGTCATGTTGATTATTTCAGTGTAAGTTACACTGACCTCCCTCAAATTTTAGAGATAATACAACAAGCCCCACTAGTTTATGAAAATTACTCTATACTTCCCATCCATTAACAAAGACCCTAAATGTGTTAACTGAAGTGATTAATTTACTTTTTTACCCTTAAATGTTTTGTATTTTAAGTGGCATTAATGTCAAATGACAAAATTGTCCTCTTCTGAACTGGTCAGTTTACTTAATTACCCTGCATTATATCTATTTTATTTCTTCCTCCATTTCATGAGCCTGCCGCCACCATCCCCCTTCCTCATCACCTGTAATTTCTCTTTTATCATTCCTTCACCTTCGTTTCTTCCCTCATTTATTTTCATTCTCTTTTCTTACGACTCTGCAAAACTAGCCAAATGCCACTAGCCACAACCACCAAAGGCCACCAATCGCTACCATCGCCAACCAGACCACTAGCAACCACCTCTTTCTTTCTTTCTTCCAGCTCATCTGTCTCTTCCTACTCTTAAACAACAAACAACCACAATTCTCATTGGATATAGAGAGAGTGAGAGTGAAGCCACCACAAGCATCATGCCTAAGACCAGTGCTAACGCTTCTGTGATCCCCTTCTCTCGCTTTTCCCCATCTTGGCTCCAACACTTCTGGGGTTTTTTTGATCTACTCTTTCAGGGTTTTATATGGTTTTGGGATTTGGGAACAAGCTCAACGATGGAAAGCCTTCAACGAAATGGTGGTAAGAGCTTTCAGGTAGGACATGTTGCTGGATTCATGGCTCACAAGGGTATGAGAAAAATATGCATTGGTGCTTATACCAGGGGCAAGAGCTAGCGGAATGTTTGTGAAGTTGCCCATGATTACAGAGTCGATGAGAAAGGAAGCAACAATGGTGTCGATGAGGTCTTTGCAGATTCTCTAAGACTCATTAGCCTAGATGCGGCGGATGTTGGTGCTGGATCAGTTAGAGTCGAAGATGGAGGGATTGGAACAGATGGACATAGTCAGAGATAAAGCATGTGCCACTGTGACAATGGTTTTCTGTTCAACCATTTGCTGAATAGGTTATTTAAAATGAAAAATGAATAAAATAATTTGGCTAGATTTTATTTTTAAAAAAATGGTTAGTTGTGAGTTTAATAAAATATATGGCATAACTTCAGCAAAAGATGTTACCTCATTAATAGCTTATTTACGCTTTTGTCTTTAGACCAATTTATTACTAAGATTTAAGGGAGGACAATGTAATTTTGTCAAATTATAGGGGTAGATTGTATTAAGTTCAAATTACAGGTTAGGTCAGTGTAATTTACCCATTATTTTATTAACTTGCCTTTTGACACACTATTATATCAGCAACAAGCTGTTTTAGCTGTGTTGAATTGACTGGTATAGCGAAATTTTCCTGATCTTGATTGTTTGGATCGGTTCACATTGTCATATGGAAAGTGTTTTGTAAAGGTTCCTGACTACATTTGTTCCTCATAACAGATTCCGGAGGAGGAGAAGAACCTTGGTCCTCATGACCGTCTTATTCATGTTTATCATTTTATGAAAGATACAGCTCAGAACCAAGTGGTAAGTTGCTTTGATAGAAAATTTAAAAGCGGTATTGCCATTGTTCCAATCATTTATAAAGTAGTTGGAGCAGAGGCTGTGAGAGAGTGCTTTTGTTACATATTTGTGAGAGTGGTCCGATCAAAATTAAGGGTTCAGAATGTTTCTGGTGTTTGATGAACCATGTGCTATGGCTCGACTGCGTAGTCAAAAAGATTTACATTCGTGGAAAGGATGGGCTGCCAACAACTTTCCTTCAAAATCCAATGTCCAGGAACAACTACAGAACCAGTATACTGAGATTCAGTGATACAATTGTAATATTTCTGTCATTTTTTTCTTTTTAAACGGCAGGTCCAGAATTTTGGGGAACATTTTTCCTTGTCATCCACGAGAGTGAGACTTTGGCTGAAGTCAAAGTACGCATACAGAAGAAATTGCAGGTTCCTGATGAGGAGTTTTCAAAGGTATGGCCTTGTTTGGTTTGTATTTGGAAAACATATTTTGAGATAAAAAGTATAAAAATTTGTTTGGTTTGACTTTTTTTCAAAAGTTATTTTGAAAAATTATTTTGAGAGAGAGTTTTGAAAAAAGTGATTGATTTGATGTGTATGAGAGAAAGATTTGTTTGGAAAATTTGTAAACTAAATAAGTTTTGGAAAAAAAATTTGAAAAAATTTGTTTGATTTGATTACTTTTGAAAACTTATTTGTAGAGAATTTTTCTCAAAATTTTTTTACAAACACAAACCAAACAAGGCCTGCATGTTCGTTTGTGAAAATGATTTGAAGTTTGCTACTCTCAAGTAGGCTAAATCGAGGATTTCAATGAATTGTTCCAATTCAAACAATCCAACCAATAAAATAATTTGGCTAGATTTTATTTTTAAAAAAATGGTTAGTTGTGAGTTTAATAAAATATATGGCATAACTTCAGCAAAAGATGTTACCTCATTAATAGCTTATTTACGCTTTAGTCTTTAGACCAATTTATTACTAAGATTTAAGGGAGGACAATGTAATTTTGTCAAATTATAGGGGTAGATTGTAATAAGTTCAAATTACAGGTTAGGTCAGTGTAATTTACCCATTATTTTATTAACTTGCCTTTTGACATACTATTATATCACTAGCTCAACAAGCCATTTTAGCTGTGTTGAATTGACCGGTATAGCAAAATTTTCCTGATCTTTGATTGTTTGGATCGGTTCACATTGTCATATGGAAAGTGTTTTGTAGAGGTTCCTGACTACAGTTGTTCCTCATAACAGATTCCAGAGGAGGAGAAGAACCTTGGTCCTCATGACCGTCTTATTCATGTTTATCATTTTATGAAAGATACAGCTCAGAACCAAGTGGTAAGTTGTTTTGATAGAAAATTTAAAAGCGGTATTGCCATTGTTCCAATCATTTATAAAGTAGTTGGAGCAGGGGCTGTGAGAGAGTGCTTTTGTTACATATTTGTGAGAGTGGTCCGATCAAAATTAAGGGTTCAGAATGTTTCTGGTGTTTGATGAACCATGTGCTATGGCTCGACTGTGTAGTCAAAAAGATTTACATTCATGGAAAGGATGGGCTGCCAACAACTTTCCTTCAAAATCCAATGTCCAGGAACAACTACAGTACCAGTATACTGAGATTCAGTGATACAATTGTAATATTTCTGTCATTTTTTCTTTTTAAACAGCGGGTCCAGAATTTTGGGGAACCTTTTTTCCTTGTCATCCACGAGAGTGAGACTTTGGCTGAAGTCAAAGTACGCATACAGAAGAAATTGCAGGTTCCTGATGAGGAGTTTTCAAAGGTATGGCCTTGTTTGGTTTGTATTTGGAAAACATATTTTGAGATAAAAAGTATAAAAATTTGTTTGGTTTGACTTTTTTTCAAAAGTTATTTTGAAAAATTATTTTGAGAGAGAGTTTTGAAAAAAGTGATTGATTTGATGTGTATGAGAGAAAGATTTGTTTGGAAAATTTGTAAACTAAATAAGTTTTGGAAAAAAAATTTGAAAAAATTTGTTTGATTTGATTACTTTTGAAAACTTATTTGTAGAGAATTTTTCCCAAATTTTTTTGAGAAACACAAACTAAACAAGGCATTTTTATTTTTGGGATAATTACAAAAAAACCCTAGGGTTTGATTCTTGTAACAAAATAAATCCAAAATTTTTAATTTTATCAGTTTAAATCCTAATATTTTGATTTGTTTTTTTATTTAAACCATTTTCTTATTTTCATCAAGTAAAATCGATAAAAAATGGATATTTTAGTCATTAAACTCAATATTGATATACATAAAATGAAAAATGTTAGAATAGATTAGCCTGTGTCCAAAATTTTCAGAATCTTTCTCTATTTTAATATTATAAAAATCTTCATATTCTGACCAGCAACTTGTGATTCAACAAATTTGCAAGGCTGGTCATCTCTCTCTCCTCTCTCTCTCTCTATATATATATATTCTCTCTCTCTCTCTCTCTCTCTCTATATATATATATATAAATATATATTTTAATCTTGATATTGTGAGGTTTAGTTATCATTTTATTAAATGTGTAATCTTTTAATACAGGGTGGTAGAGCATATGCAGCATATCCTCCATAGTTTGGACATGCCTCCCCCTGCTCTCTCGCACATGTGCTTGCGCAAGAACCAGCGCGAGGGTGAGGTGCATAGGTTTTTTATTCCATTGTAATTTAGGAATACATAAGATTTTGGGTTGGGTGATGTATAGTGTATAGGTATGTGTTTGGACATTTCCTTTCTTTTCCCTTTTCTTTCTGTCTGATTCTCCATTTCTAGTTTTATTTTGTGTGCATTATTAGTGGGGGATCTGTATAATGTTTGTTTTTTGGTTACTATTTCTGGGTTTTTCCAGATTTGTGCAAAGGGAACTCGTATTTTCTTTGCTGTCCAATCGGTATGCAGCTGTTCTAATCCCTGAAGTTAATTGTTGAAAACGCTGCCTTCAATTGATAGGAAAAAAAAGGAAATAAAAGGACAAGACAATCTAAAAACTGTTTACCTTGTTTGGTTTTGATTAATTTTCTAAATTTTTTTTTTTTCATTTTTTTTTTTGTTTTTAGTAAAGTTTTAAAATAATTGAAGTGACTTTTTTTTATTTTATTTTAACTTTTTAGATACACTTAATGTAGATGTACTTAAAACAAATATTTGTAAAAAAATATTTTAAAAAATTAATAAATATGGAAGAATACGTAAATGTATTAATTTTCGTATTTTTATTTATTTTGTGAATTTTTTACAGATTTTTTTTACAAATATTATATTTTTTAAATATATTTATGTTAGGTGTATATAAAAATTAAAAAAATTGTTCACAGTACTAAAAAAGTTCAATAAAAATAAGGAAAAGACAATTTAATTTTTTAAAAAGTGGGTTTAATTTTCTGAAACTAAAAAGTAGATTCAATTTTTTGAAATCAAAAAATTCGTGGATGTGTTTTTTTGTTAAAAATATGGATTAATTAAACTGGTCACCAGTATGCTGCACCTGAAATCCCACTTCAACCCCTCTATTTTTTATTTTATGTTTTTTGGACAGGCAATTTGCTACACTTCTAATCAGTGTGAGTCTCCTGTAAGATTCTGTTAACTATCTAATTGTGTGTTTACTTGTTTATTTTAATTAGCATTTTTACATTAAAATTTGATTTAATACTTACAGCAAGCGTTGAATTTTTATCAAATTTAAATTTCAATATGAGAGCATTTGATGCGCCTATTGACCCAACATGGATCCTGTTTTGATTATTCGAATTAAATTGTCGCTAAAATTTACAATTAGTGACTTTTTTATAACAAATTTTTCCCATAGGACCTATTAGATAATAAGTCCACTTATTATGACCTATACGTAAGTACTCCTTATTGAATAACTAAAAATCTGTGATTTGACTGCACTTAGTATTGATGGTAGAGTTAATTTCCTTGAGTGCATTCTTGGTTCTTAACATACATCATCAATGGAAAAAATTAAATCAATTCGATAATTATAATATTTTTATTTTATGATATTTATTTTTAAAAAAATAAACAATACGATAAAATTAAAATGTTATGACTATTAAATCGACTTAATTTTTTCCACTAATTTATTTATCATCTTAATCTTTGAACTTTCTTTAATGATAAATTATTATTTATAATATATTTTATTATTTATAATTTTTGTAAATTTTTTTTTTAAGTTAAAAAATTAACACGCTCTTGCTTCCGATATAAATATGATTTTTCTTGCTTCCAATATGATACTAGGCGGGGGACTACAAACTTTTCATATTGTCATCTGTGGGAGTGAATTTTTGACCATACTGCCAACTCAGGTTTCAACTGGAGAACACTGGTGGAATAGATGGCACCTGGATGACCTGTAACAGAAAGAAGAGACTCCGGTGGTGGTTCGTCCACCTGGGGGCACTCCGACGATCAAGTCAGTTATCTCAAAGATAATCAATGGTGCTTAACTCACTGTTCTGAGTATAAATTGCGTACCTTAGACCCATCGGGGGTGTCTTTCTTTTATAGCTACTTTAATCCTAGTCCCAATAGAAGCCTGGCTTCAATGGACTCCTGCTTAGTGCTTATCCTGGAGTCTACAAGAGATAAAGATAGACTCCCTAAAAGTGTTATCCTTATCCATGCTGAAGTCTTTCCTCATTCTAGGACTCTTGTCCCTTATCCCCTTATCTCGGAATCCGATATCTTCGGAAGTAACCTCGGCCTAGCCGAGATAACTTTGGCATCACAACCAGGACACGTGGAACCTCGGCTGACACGTCGGTGTCACCTTGGCCACGTGTTGGTATTCAGAAAATACATCCCTATAACTGCCCCCTAGGTTCTATTACCTCGGCATACTGAGGTGATGAAACCTATATCACTTCTCTCATTTAGTACGTCGGCTTAGCTTGCTTGCTTCTTTATTCATTGCCGAAGTAAGAACTCGTTGACTCGGTACGACGAAGACCCATAGTCTATTTTTATGAATGCCTCAGAATCACTAACCTGGATTGTTCAAGTTTAGCCGAGATTATTGTCTAGGCCGACATGTCTCCTTAAAGAACAAGAATTCCAAGAGTTCTTTCACGCGTATGAGCTGTCATTCATTTTAACTCAACTGTTTCATCCACGCGTCTTCTCCTTACTGGATCGTACTCTGTACGCGCTTGTGAGTCGTCTCATGCCTGCGTGCGCTGTTTGACGATTTCGCCATTATAGGCTCATCAATTCCATTTTGCTGTTTTTTTGCGTTTTGACAAAATTTCCCTCTTCTTTCGTCTTTTCACTTATTATTGCTATTTCTGAAGTTTTTCTCTCTCTAGCTTTTTCCCTCGAGTCTGCCATTGCCCAAGCTCACTTAGCTCTGCAACTTGCTCCATTTCATCACTTCCGGCGCGATTTTCACTGTTCCGTTGCCTCTACAACCGTTGTCTGACTTCGGCGATCCTCTCACCGACATCACTTTTTCTGGTATGCCACTGTTTCCCTTTGGTTTCAGTTCTTGATTTTTCCTTGAACTCTACCATTTTTGCAAACTTGCTCATGTCTTTGATTAGTTTAATCTGTATATGTGTTTGAGTATGGTTGTTTCGTGACTCTGTTTTTGCCCAAATCGTCTTCTTGAATGCACACTGTTCACACACCTGTTGATTACTGCCACTGTTCTTGGCCTAACACACCTGTTTCAAGTTTTTGTCTTGTGTCTCTCGATGGCTTCATCACCATTCTTGATTCTGAAAACACATTCTTGCTTTTCTGTGTTTCTGTGACTTTTCCAGATTCTTGTTTTCGATCTTCACTTGCCTAGACTTCAGGATTGGAATTTGTCTATAGAGCTTTACGAACCTTAGGAAAAACTGACACGAATTCCCTTTAGATCCATACAAACCCTTACCATAGTACATTCTTAGGTTTTAGCCAAGGTTCCTTAAACCCTTCCCAAACACTTCTTTCCGAAATTATACTCCGCCAATTAAGCCGACGTTATGGGTATGTGGAAGGATAGGGTAGACACCCCGACCAAATTAGAGCACTTTAGGCAGGAGTTTGACATCTCGGCCGACATTCATCTGAGGTTGGCTGGGGAGGATGACTCTATCATGCCCGATGTGAACCTCATACCCTTCCCAGTAGTGGCGTTTATTGAGTATGGACTTAGGTTTCCACTTGACCCTTTTTTCCGTGAAATCCTTCATTTCTATAGATTGAACCCAATGCAGCTTGCCATAAATTCTTACCAAATTACCAATGGTACCATAGCCTTAGCCAAACAGGAGAATGTTAGGATTACTCTTGCCGACTTCCAGTACTGTTATACCATGTGTCGCCTGAAATCGGAAAAAGGTCACATCTATTACCTCAAGCCGAGGTCTACTGAGTACAAACTTATTGCCGACCTCCCAAATTCGAACAAAGGTGCTGGAGACGATTACTTCATCGTCTCGGGCAACTGGGAGTTTTAGCCAAATGATGACCTCCATCTATATCCCCTAAGCCGAACAGTTTTCGGGGAAGGAGCTGGTAAGGGCCATCCTTCATAAATTTCTCGCTTCCTTTAAAGTTTCCCATACTCTGCTCTAATGTCTGTGTTTTTTCTCTTTTGCAGTTCTCCCTTAGCCACCGAAGGGCTTTCGTCAGTCTTTCTTTCCTAGCAAAGATTTGAAGAAACTTCTGAATCTGCCAATCCACAAGTAGAAGGGCCCTCTGCTACTCAACTTTATCCCTACTTACAAGTCGGCTCTTCCCGACGTTCCAAAAAAGAAGAAGAAAAGCCTTTCCCCGCCTTCTGCCACAACTCCTCAAGCCGCTTCCACATCTCGGCCAGATTAAGGATTGACCTCTGATCCAGCTGAGCAACCATCAACCTCGGCTCCATACTTGATCCCACCATCTCAGCGCAAATGTCGGCGACGAACTGCTCTTTCTGTCGAGATGGGCCGCCAGAAAGCTATTGCGAAAGATCTCTTGGCCAACATCCCATCCACTGTTGATGCTGAGCCAGCATCATCTCAGCCCCCAAAGCTAAAACAAAAAAGAATCAAAAAGGCTCAGCCAAAGGCAAAGGTGACTCAGGTTGACACTGAGGACACATTGCCAATCTCCAAATTGGCTGAGAGCGATAAGTCCCATTCTGCCGCTGAAAAGAGGCCTGTCGAGGCTCAACCATCCGAGTCTACCTGATCAAACAGGCCGAGGTCATCCGCTGCAACCACCTCGGGGTCTTGAAAGCATGATTCCCCCTGGGCCCCCCAAATCACATTGGAGGATAAGCCAGTTATGGCTAGCGATAGCGCTGATGACATTAATGTCGGCGTTGCCCTTAGTAACGCTTTGCTTTTTCCCGACGATCTCGACCGAAACGCTGAGTTGAGCGAATATGAAAACTATGCTCTGATGCTCCAGCGCTCTGTTCAAGTAATTGTTTTTGTTTGGTAATTTTTCTTTCTTTCTCTTTCTTATACTTTAGAAAACTTTGTAGTAACTTCTGCTCTGTTTCATGTTTTCTCAGGTAATCCAGCATGCCCACTCCTTTTCAGTACAATCTTTTGAGATAAGGAACGCGCTGCCGACAAGAAGAAGGAGGTCTCCAGCCTTTAGAAGACTAATAAAAACTTGCAATCAAAGATGAAGATCTTGGAGGATCAAGCCGAGGATGCTATCAAAGCTCAAAATGATGCCGAAGAAAAGGCGAAATCTACTGAGGCCATTAGGAAGGTTCTTGAGGCCCAAAAAAGAAAGGCCGAGGAGAAAATGGCCCAAGCCCAAAATGATACTAGGCGGGGGACTACAAACTTTTCATATTGTCATCTGTGGGAGTGAATTTTTTACCATACTGCCAACTCAGCTTTCAACTAGAGAACACTGGCGGAATAGATGGCACCTGGATGACCTGTA